CACTTTTAATAAGCCAAAACCACAACGGCACAACCAAGTGTCCTATGAACAAACCAGAAACAAATTAACCATGACGGTTTTACCGGTATTTTTGTGGTTATTACAACATTGCGGAACACGTCCATCATTCCAAATAGGCAACATAGGCAACTTATCCGGGATCCCGCGATCCGTGAATCTGATATCGATCAATCACGGAAGACGTCGTTGTCGTCCGAGAAGCGCATACGCACAGGACAGGACAAATGTGTGCATATTCGTACACAGAAATTCCGTTACTCACCAAAATGCGAGTGCATAGCAGAGAATCAAACCGGGGACAATCACACAACCGAATGTCCCCTCTATAAACCCTGTACAAGCTGAACGAAGACACTGCAGAAGCATGCACACTTAGAAGACCTCCTAGCTACACTGTCTTTCCACCTAAAATGAGTGAGCTTCAACGATGCTCGTCAAGAGTTCATACGAAACGAAAATGGAAAGTTCCTTATTAGAAATGTGAATCACGTCGATTGAAATATGAAGATGAGTTAGCCACTGGCACTGACGGTCGTACAGAATGTGGCAACCTCTGGACCTCTTCGTAACTAGCATGATCCAGCTTCATTCGGTGCACCATCTGTTCGTTCATGTCGTTGCCTGAATCTTTTAACGTTGTTTCCTCCCTGAGACGACTACTCCCACAAGGATAAGACGATAGTGGTTGCAAGTATGGAACAAATGATGTATGTATGATGAAACAAATGTATGAGCTTGGCAGAACTCTCTGGCTATCAGCAAATACGTCCCAACTGGTTCCACGGAGAGCACCATGACAAAATTGAAAATAAAACCCAAAGCATGAATGAAAACCCTGTGAAAAACTGCGCTTCAGACCCGTACGACAGCTAAAGAGAAGCTCATTTGTTTCCTGGTATTGATGAGGAAAGGAATTGCAGATTCCGCAGATTCACCGATTTGGGCGATCGTAAGTGAGGTAAAAAATTGGGTGACCTGAAAAGCGACAAAACCACGTGCGTTATGGGACTCAGTTATAACGTCTGTAGGCTGAGGAGGAGATAGCAAAAGCTGCTCTCAGGGTGGGAGCAAATATTGAAACAGGTCAGTGAAGATGGCTAGAAAAAAACAGGAGGAGTATTTCTTAAATCGAGCATAGATACTGTAAGACACAAAACTCTCCATATCCACACCCACGCCTTTAATTGCCTAAGGGGCAGCACTAAAGGAGTTCCAGCTCATGAAACGCCGTTCGTGATGAACATGAGCATGTTGTGGTAAACAAAATCATGCCAGAGACATGCCACTGCAAAGACGTGAGTACCGTTTAGTCATGGATCATTTAAACGTCTAACCCTCTGACAATTAGGTGCAAGAGGTGCGACGTGATCGCCGTGAAATCTGGTCCTGGATGAGTTATAATGCGTTTGACATATTCTGGATACAAACGTATTTTGAGAAATATTCTAGCGAAACGGAAACAATAGCAAAGACGCGATGACTTAAGTAGACCAAACACTCCAGGGGAGGATTTGGCGAGTAATCTGAAAGTACGGCCACAACACTATCGTGTAGGAAAATGAGAAAATGGCACGAAGCAAAATGTTGATGCGCCGACGATAAGCTGCGCTGAATGACGAACGACGTGACCATTGTCCAGAAACCGGATAATTTTTACTAGCGGACAGTTCCAGAGTAATTCATGACCAGTTGAGGATGATCTCGGTAAAGACCTTGTACTGTAACAGGAGCGTGATAGGTCGATAGCCTTCGGCACGAAGATCTTCAGCATCATCTTCTGTAATAGAATAATAGTCCACCAACTCTTCTATGCATGTGGCATCTTCTTCAGTCTCATACACTCTGAAATGATCTTCAGTAAACTTGCTCCTCTGGAATTAAGATGTTCTGGCTTTATGCAGTCTGCTTCAGGACACTTGTCACTTTTAATATTCCAGATTACTCATTCTACTTCGCCCAAGATGACTCTGGGAACTGTTTCCGGAACAAGGCGCTACAGATTCCAATACACCTGTACTTTTGAGGAGTTGTTGTAGAACGTAGTGAAGATCGCTTTCAAACGAGAGCAATTTGTGGATCTTTCCGCTCCTTCGTCATTCGCTTTTGTATCAGGACTCCAACTTGCGTGGTCCTCACGCTATCATTTTTAACACGGCCTCTCCCTCTCCCTCTTCGCTCTTCTGCAGTAGCCGTAGTCCTCCCGATTCGTTCAACGTATTACTTTGCACCAATTGTCAACCAGCCGTCATTCTGGGTCTTCCGGTCAACGTATGCCTCGTTACAGGACTGGTGCAGAAGAGTTGTTTTCTTGTCGACGCTGCTGTCCGGCTGGACGATAGAAGGGCAGTTTTGATGGTATTGATGAGGTGATCGCAGTCGGCATGAGTGACTCTGCTGAGCTCTGTTGCAAGGCTGTCTGCTGAGGAACATTCAGGGCAAAAACTTAAGATCGAGTATTCGACCACTGGCCGGTAACGTTTGAGCCATTCTAAGCTGATCATTGGCAACAGCGATTGTAATTGTGGAACGAAGTGATCTGTTATTATCCACCTCGCGTCTATCAGCACAAACTCGGTTTGTTTAAGGGTCGTTGCATTATTGATCCTCCATGTCCACTACTGCCTCTTTGCTTTTGTCAAGCATTACATTCATAATGTGGAGGCGTCTACCTTTGGTAAAAGCTACTAGTCGGCAGCCGCGCTCTCCATTTCCAAACCGCATGAAGCAACACTCTGTCGCGGCTGCTTCCTTCCCTACTATGGCCTCGAGATCTTCTAGGACGATTGTGCACCTCGACGCCTTTTGCGTTGTTTCTTTCAGTTCCTCATAGAACTGCTACATTTTTTCACCATCCGCTTGCTTAACATAGAGGACCAATCGATACACACATGTATTCATACCCCGAAGCATGTATATCAGTTATCAGTTATCTTTAATGATGTTTTCTTGTCCACCCGCAGAATCAGAACGGCGACAGGAGGTGATATGAGGTCGTAACCGACTAAGAATTTTTCATTCCTCTTCTTTATAATGTTACTAACACCACCTGAGTGAGCTTGCTTTTCGTATGATTTCCAGGGAAACATTGATCATCGTTGTTCCACTGAGCGACATGATTGGCGGATCAGCGGTTTTGCCATACACCGAGAACATCTATCTGCCTTGACTTTTTTCCGCCTCGATGATGCTGATGTGAACGAGCGCATCTGACCACAGGCTTCCGATATTGGGGAGAGCCATTTGGATTTTGATGAAATGCATCGACCGTTTGCCAACAGCTTCACCTGGTCGTAAGTGATCCGAATTTTTGGTTAGCCTGCATCTACCTCTCTGGCATTCTTTCGTGCATGACGTAGTTGGGATGGGTTTCGAGGGCAGTTCAATCAGGGATCCTCCCTTCGTGAACTGTAGCATTCGTCTTCCAGTTATCTTTCAATCAGCCCATCGAGGTCCTAAAGGGAGGCTGTTGCTGAGCAGCCGATCGCGCCACCGTTCACTGACCGGCGCCGGGTCTCATCATCTCAGCCCAATGGAAAAAGCCCTCTGCGGCTTATCCAGCCGGCTCATCGTACAGACGAATGGTGGAATCTATTTTTTGTTTTAAAATACCAAGGTTCAATCGCTGAACCCGAGAGACTCAAATGCAAGGCACGTACAAGGAGGCTCGACTGTAGCACAACAGACGACGCACCGTTTCCTGACCTCGTAGGATGTCGATCACGTCGGATGTGGGGGGGGGCGTTTCCAACGGATATGAGGTAGTGGACGTATGGCGATAAAAATGATTTAAACAACATGTGACGTGTGAGCGGTCATTTGAGAGTCGCGCCGACGTTTGAAACAACGACATGACATAAATAGACGGATTGACAGAAGTGTGTCGTGTCAGGAACGCCTTCTCTACTCGGTCGGCCGGCCGGAACCACGTTACCGACCAATAGCCGCATGTTAGTGTTCGGTCGTTAGTTGTCGGTCGTCATCGCTTGACGCTTTCATAAATAAGAACCGCCACCGGATTGCTGGTCGTCGTTGTCATCGTCATCGTCTTGTCGACAGATGTTCGTTTCGTGACAGCACAGGCGTCGATCGTCACCGTACACATGGCCGGGCAGCCTTTTTGGAGACGACGGCATTTCGTGATCACTGATCGACCTTTACCGAAGGCGACAGCGCTCGTTATTGACAGCCACAGCCTTCCACAGATGTCCGATTCGAGACAGCTGGCTTTAATCCGCGCCACTTAGCTGATCGATCGACAAAAAACGAGCATGGCCAAAAAAATCATCTGTCCACATAATAAAAATGATTGAAACCGGAACCGGTCATCCAGGCCGCACGCAACAGCTCTGCAGCTGAATATTAGGTGCATCTTCCCGAAACGTGAATGTCTGTCGAGGATTTCGAAAGAAAGCACAATTGGCATCGCCATCCCGCAAAGGCTACCTACGCTACGCTACCTAACCTCAGAACATACAACACTGGCAAAGAT